AACCCAGCCGCCGGTCCTCCTCTCCTTCCCCTCCCTCCTTTCCGCCGCCGCCAGGGGTTGGCACCGGGCAAATCCTGTGTGTCTGACGGCGGCGGCAAAGATACTGCCTCCCCTCTCGGTTCTAGGGTCGTGCGGGACGCCCCATCTTGAGGGTGTGATCCCTATCTCGATCGTGGCGGCGCCAATTTGGACTAGGGCACCCTGATGGACAAGAACATCGCTGCAGCTGGTGTCCCAGCGGTGGCCTTAGCGGCAGGGCTGGCGCAGCCTTTCATGATCAGGGGTGGTGACCCCTAGGATGGCGTCCCTGCCTGGTGGCACAATGGGCCAGGTAGGCTGCCATTGATCGGACTGGGTGGCCGGCGATCCCGGCAGCAAACGACACCGAGCTTACCGGACATGGCCGTGCTGCTAACCGGTTACCGGGTTGGGAGGAGCGGGAGGTGAGGATCTCGATTGGGATAACTCATAGGTCGGCTCTTGCTGGCCGCGACGGCGACGACACTCGAGGGTGCCGTTTTTCTTCCTGGAGACATTGTTCGGGTCCGCCCTACCTTTTTCCACCTCATGGTCTCTCGGGGAAAACCCTAGGATGGCGACGACGCTCTTGGCATCATGTCCTTCTTGAAGGCGTTGTCGTGAGAGCTATGTGGCGGTGGTCACCGCTTGGGTGCGTCGACAGTATTAGATGGCATGCCCCTCTTCTACTAGGTGGTAGTTGTTCTGGGGGAAACCCTAGATCTAGGTCTCCCGGATCGGATGATGACGGAGACTTTGGTGTTGTTCTCCCTCATGGGGGCATCATCTTGGAGCAGTGGTTCACTAGAGAGGTCAACATGCGGAGAGGTGTTACATCGACTGCATTGAAGTCGGTGGGTCTTAGCGGCGTCGAGCAGTGGAGTCTCAGAGTTGGACATGGTTTGATCGACGCGTGTAGGCTGGGGGCGCCATGTGGTGTCGTGGTGACGTCAACGGCAGATGGGACTAGCAAGATCTATGCAGTGATTCCTCCTGGAGATGGGATGTCCAAAGATGACGATGGAGGATCCTAAAGCATGCGCAGGCGATGCATGTTATGGGACGCCTAGACCGGATGGTCTTAAGGCCACTAGATTAGATTATGCCTATTATGCAGACATGACATGTCTGTATACTTGTAGGTGTAACGACTTTGTTCGCCTAGAACAGGGCTTCGGGTTGATCCTCGTCTTCATTTTGTCAGACTCTGATCCTCACAAGCATGCCTATGTTTCTTTTGTCATTTTTTGATATACCAGTTGGAGTTCGGAAATGACTGGGTTTCTATCGATCCCGCTTTTTCTGGCAGAGTGATGACCTGAAAAGGAAGTATAGACTCACTAAATGGGATATTATTTGTCGACCGAAATACCAAGGGGGTCTAGGTATCGAAAATCTTGAGGTTAAGAACAGATTCTGCGTAATAAGTACCTTCATTCGAAAACTTTGTCACATGTGACAGTCAGACCGATGGACTCACCTTTTTGGAAAGGACTGATGAGAGTGAAATCAGTCTTTTTTAATAGAACAAAGTTTCTAGTCGGAAACAGTACTTCCACGAGATTCTGGGAGGATACATGGATAGGGGAAACACCCCTCGCGCTTCAATATCCCTCCCTTTATAGCATAGTGCAATGAAGAGACGCTTTTGTTGCAACCGTGCTTCAGTCCACTCCCCTCAGTATCCACTTTAGGAGAGCACTTTCCGGACCCGTTGGGAAGCGTGGCTCCATTTGGTGAGAAGACTGATGGATGTGCAGCTTTCTCAACAGCCAGACATGTTGTGCTGGAAGCTAACCAGGAATGGAGAGTTCACGGTTAAATCTATGTATTTAGATGTGATCAACTCTAGCTCTATTCCTAGTTCGAAACATGTTTGGAATGTCAAAGTGCCTTTGAGAGTTAAAGTGTTCATGTGGTTTGTACACAATCAAGTCATTTAACTAAGGACAATTTGACAAAGCGCAACTGGACTGGTTCTACGAGATGTAGTTTTTGTGATCGGGATGAGACCATCAAACACCTCTTTCTTGACTGTCCGATAGTGAAGGTTTTATGGCGGACTGTTCACATTGCTTTTAATATTACTCCTCCGAATAATATCAACACATTATTTGGGACGTGGCTTGACGGGATAGTTCCCAAACAGCGAGACACATTCGTGTAGGAGTATGTGCTTTACTTTGGGATGTCTGGAACTGCAGGAATGATTTGGTTTTTAACAGAACAACAAATACTCATTTTTTGTAGTTTATCTTCCAAGCCACTGCGTTGATCCGTATGTGGTCGCTACTCACTCAGACGGAGGCCAGTGAGCGTTTGGTTACTGAATCTACCCGATGGGAGATGGTAGCTCGGGCTATATTCAACCGGTTTGGATGGCGGTCATGTAATAGGATAGGCAATTAGTTTCCCAATCTAGCTTCTGCCTGCCAGTTGTGGCTTTTCTTTTTGCTCTTCATGAGCCTTTTTGTGGTTCGTTTTTTTAAGACTTCATGACCTTTGTTGAACTTATTTGCTTTATAGTAAAGGTGGTCGTATGCATCGTTCTGATGCAGAGGCCGGGGTTGTACCCCTTTTCCAAAAACAAAAAAAAAAATTGTCAGACTCTGATGAATAATAAATAAAAATGGCCGTGTGCATCATGTTGATGCAGAGATCGAAGGTAATCCCCGTTTTGAAAAATAAACGTGAAGATGTAACATGCAGATTAATTAAGCTTATCATCAATCTCAATCTGTAGATTGTCATTAATGAGTCAAAGTTAATATCATGACCATCCACACTTCACGGTCTCCGCAGAATCAGCAGATTAGTTAAGTCTATCATCGATCGTGATCTGTAGATTGTTTTGTTTCTACGTCTGATTGAAACACATCTCACAGACGACTTTTGTAGCTCAACTATCTTCCGTTAGGAGGAGCTCGGCAAATGTGTTCTGGCTAATCTTGCTTTCGCCTATCGAAACTTGTGCAACTACATATCCTGACTAAAACGCAAATAATTACTCCCTCAATATCAGCACTCGCCTTGGCAAAATCAAGCGTAGTTGTTGCTATGTCTCAAGTCTGTCTCTATCTCTTTCCCTCCGGTTCTCTGGATGATATACTTACAATACGAGTGGGATCACAGAAGAAAAAAGGCATATCATCATTAGAGGTACGTTCTTGCCCAGGAGTAAAAAGACGATAGAATCATTAAAAAAGATTATGTTATGGGTATTTCAACACACATCAAGTTATGAAAAGTCAAGTTAAATTTGTATTTCAATGTTTCAGTCATTGATCGCTTTTATTCTAACAAATGCTGTTTTTTGTTGACTGGAAATGAAGCATCAAGGGGTAAGAACACAACAATCACACATCTTGTCTCTTCATGAATAGGATGCACATAACCAATGCCAACTCAGGCACGCGTGCACGCATACTCACAAAAAATCACACCCACAAATTGTAAAGTCGTACAAAACAAGTAGTTGCGCCTAAGCGACTGAAAAAAGGAAAAACTCCGAAGCAGATCAAAAGAAGAGTCGACGAATTACAACGACGACCATCCGCACAGACCATCTCTTGACATCACAAATGTAGCGAGAAAGGTTCTTCAATAGCAACCTCTCCAACAGGGGGACGACGCTAAAGTGCCGCCGTCGCCGGATCCAACCTGCAAAAGCCAGATCGTGGGATTTCACCGAGAAGATGTGGTCCAAGCAACTTGAGAAATGTCTTAAGCAAAGTAACCAACTAAGGGCAAACCTAGGTTTTTCATGCTGGGTCCCAGGAACATTTACTCGAGAAGCACTACCAAATCGAAGTCATCCCTTGTTCTCATCATGACTTTCTGCTATCTGAAAAACTACATGTGTCGCATAGTCTTGACATGAGATGCCATGGAAGTGAAGACCGCACTAGTGCAGAAACCCTTATAGAGGAAATGTCTTAGTGGTGTGCCCGAAAAAGGTCATGCCGCTGATACTCGCCTAAAGTACCAATGGCATGCCAAGCTACTGACATGCCACCGGTGGAGTGGAGAACGAAGAGGGGAGTAGTGAATTTGAAGTGGGGATCGAGTGTCTAACGCCACTATCTCTAGAGGATCAGAGAGAATGAGAAGAGTCGGAGTGACGTATCTAATGCCAAGCAACATGGCACATAGTCGGAATGGAGGGACCGTGTGCTTCGTGCCACAGTTCATGAATGTAGGTTAAGAAAAGCACGTCTGATTACACATCACATATGCTCTCTCTTTTTTCATCGTGTGCCATATGTTGCATCAAACACGTTATGCTTTTGGGCCCTCCCTTCCGCAAACGCGCAATTTTTGTTCCCCAAGTTGTTTGCGCATGATGTTTGTTGGTCCATATGCAAAGAGGGGTCTTCATAGACCTGATCTGCAGTAGTGGGTGTTGTACAAGAGGATGTGTTCATTTATTTGAAGACCCCTCATTTATTTCAATTTAATATACACTTGATATATTAATAAAACTGCTCATTTCCGCAGAAAAAATAAAACAAGATGGTGCTTATAGCTTCAACTGTGCTCTAAAAACTGGCATTCTTATTCCAAAAGCACGTTCAATGGGAAAATACTGAAACACACCAAAGTCGTAGTTCAAATGTAAGTATGTGCCAGTTTGTTTTTAAAAAATTTAAAATGATACAAACATAACTGATCATGACATGTTTTTTGGGGCATATACCAGTACAGATTTAATATACACAAGAGTCTTTTCGATAAAGGATTTCTGAAATGTGGTCTTCAAATAATGTACCAAGTACCTTCTCCGCATTTTCCTGAAATAAAATCAACTCAAAACAGGCCTCTCTCTGCTTCAATACCTCTTCTTATTTCAGATTGTGTTGAGCCTGTCAACAATTTCATCTATGGAAGGCCTAATTTTCTGATCAATCTGCATGCACTCTAGCCCTGTTTTTATGCATGTATGTACTTGATGGAGGCGTTCTGAATCAAGTGATGGGTACTCGGATGCTATGTGCTCTGCTGTCCACCTTTTCCGTATCTGTGTACACAATTAGAATTATGATTATTCATGGTGATAATATACAAACCATAAATGTACGTAACATAAGCCTCTAAGTTTCATCTTCAAAAGTAAACATTAAATAATTTATCTTCTTACATCTTTAATGTATATCCTTGAGGCCTTGTCCAGATTGTCGTCGTTCTCCTCCCTTGTGGTGATTTGGATCATCATTACCCCCAAACTATATATGTCTATTGAGACCGACTTGCCTGTGCTGTTTAGATATTCTGGAGCCATGTATCTACTGAATGTCATTAACAGGGAGAGTTAATACGAATTACTAAGGAGAGATGGAAGTGTAATTTGCAGTAATAAAGGAACAAAGTAATAATGTCAAAATTCGTGATTAGCTTACTGTGATTCCTTTGTGTAGTCTTTGATCTGATCTTCGCTAAAGATTCTGGAGAGTCCAAGATTGGCAATTTTGGGCACCATTGCTTCATCTAACCATATATTATTCAGGTTAAGATCCATATGGGTAATGGGGTCTTCTAACTTGTGTAGATAAAGTAAACCCTGGCAAACCCCCTTGACTATTTTGAAACATATGTCCCAGTTGGTACTGGGATCAGCCGAATTGGAGCCATCTGTTGCTTTGGGCCCTGTATATATGAGTGTAAAAGCTAAAGGAATTAGAAGATAAATAATGCAAACAAGTCCAAATTCTAAACTCCAAGTTACGCAAACATCAAGAGAATTAAGAAGAGTATTGCCAGTGTGTGTTAGGTACCAAAAAGATGCTGTTGAAGGCTCGCATGAGGATCAAAGTCATAGCAGAGTAACCTTTCTGTAGTGTTCTGTAGTGTTTGATTGCAGAACCCAAACAACTCTACGATATTTTCGTGTTTAAGCTCATAAACACTCTGAATCTTATTCTCAAAATTGTCCGGTGGGATTTCTGCGCTTTGGTCAAGTTTCTTCACTGCAATCTTTTTCTCTGGCAGAGTTCCCTGTTTAATCTCGTAAATACTAAGTATTAGCATCTGTTCGATCATCAAACTTTTGAAAAGACAAAAAAACAAGAGAAAAAAAGATCGAACCTTATAAACTGTTCCAAATGGATCTTGACAGAATATTCGGGAGAAGTTATTCGTAATTTCTTCCAGAGACTGAAATGAAAACTTCTTTAATAGTTCGGGGCTGGAGCTGCTCCCTTCGGTTATCTCTCCAGTTGCCATTTCTGATGATCTAAGAAAGTAAGGGAGATGTGAAGGAGCAGCCTACAATTGGATTTGCTACTTCTTCTCATTAGCAAAACACGGCAGTTGTTTTAAAACAGGATCCCAAAATAAGTACGAATCGAACAACCAGATCTTGGACAAACTAATTAATCACGAACACTGAGATCAGGAAGACTGACCATAAGCACGCTGGGAAGAGAAGACACCCGTCCGCGCCTGCCTGCGCAGCTTCTTAAAATTAGGAGCTAAACCATGTCTCTCTCTCTCTCTGTGTGTGTGTGTGTGTGCGTGCGTG